CCCCCCCCCACCCCACAACACACACACACACACACACACACACACACACACACACACACACACACCAGCAAGTCCTCATCTGGGGTGTGGAGAATTCAAGGGGGATTCTGCAGGAAATGATCAGCTCCCTAAGTTCATTCTTTTTCAAATGGAATCTGTTGAATAAAAAGACTCCTGGTCACCAACAAGCATGATCCTGCCCTGCTAGATGTTTATCACACCCAGGCTGGGAATCAAGACCAAGAATCTCAGTTTACCAAGTTTGCAGAGGATTTACAAGTTGCTAGGCAAGGTTAATATGCAATCAGATTAGAGATAAGGTGCAAAAACAAACCTAATAATTGGCCAAGAGTCAAATTGCATGCTAGTTAGTAACTTTAATTTAAAATTTGGGAGTGGGAGGAGTAGGAGTTTTAGAATTACTGATGGGAAAGATTTGAATGCATGGAGAGTTAGCATAAAAACACCTCAGGGGCAGCAAATTGGTGATGCAGAAATTCACTGTTGAAGCCAGAATTACACAGGCAGTCAGTAGAGATAGGTAAATCCAGTCAGGTTGGATCAAGGAGGCCAATTCTGAGTGAGTCAGGAAGTTGGACATTTCCAGAGGGATGGAAATGTGAATTCCTTCAGAGCCCTTCCTCCACCCTTATCCAGAACCTGCCCCTGCTCCAACCTGTTGCTAAGGTAACCTGTTCTAGGAATTGCCCCTCCCTACAGGGAGCTATAAAGTTGTTAATTAATGTGTCCTTGGCTGCTACATCTTGCCCTACCCCCTTCAGCCCACCTGATGCCCACCTGACGCCCACCTTTGGGCCCTCCCGCCAGCATTCCTGGGCCTAGTCCTGGGTCTGGTCACAAAAGCAGGAAGGAGATAAGGGGAAGGGGGCAGAACAAAGGAAGCCTAGGACACATAAAAAGGGCAGAATTCCTGCTTCTTGGGATACCAGGATCCCAGCTGTGGCCCCCTTCTCCCTCCCTGGAGAAGTCTATGTGACCCCCTTTTTAAATAAACCCTACTTTATATGCTTGCCTCGGCGTGCTTCTCCAATGTTCAAACTTCAACATGTGGGGAAGCAGAACTCGTTACCTATAACCGGGGGTAACACTATGGCCTGCAGATCACATTTTTATATGTACAAGATTATAAATGTGAAGTTCAAGTCTGGGTGTGGTGGCGTATGCCTGTAATCCTAACTACTTGGGAGGCTGAGGGAAGAGGATGGGAAGTTTGAGACCAGCCTCAGCAATTTAGCGAGTCTCTGAGCAATTTAGCAAGTCCTTAAGCAATTTAGCAAGACCCTGTCTCAAAATAAAATTTAAAAAAGAGATTCATACCTGTGATCCCAGCAACTTGGGAGGAGGAGATATGAGGATTGCAAATTCAAGGCCAACCTGAGCAACTCAGAAGGCACAGCTGCAAATATTTCAGCCTATTGCACATGCATACATATAGGCTTGTGCACACACAGATGTTCACATGGACACACAAATAAAAAATAGCTCTCTTCCTAACAAAATCAATCATAGTCATCCAGATATTTGACTGACTACAACAGAATTAAGACAGCAGTACCAAAAATTATGTAAAAAATACTGGCGTGTATTAGAGAAAAATGCCCTTTCGTGTATTCATTCATTCAAACACCCGAGGATCCTAACAGATGAGGGGGAAAAGACCACATGGGAACACAAGGCCAAAGACAAAATCAGGTATGTTGTTTTCCCGTGCCTCAAAATGTGGGACAGAAGATCCTCTACTCCCACTCTCCTGGACATCCTAAAACCCAGGTTTTACTTCTTGCAAAAGCAGAATTTCTATTTTACTTGAATCTCACTATAAAGCTCTAACTTCACTTTTATTACTTTGGCAACTTTAAGGATGATAAAATAAGCAGACAGGTTAAGCAAAGGGACCAAGGTCATACAGCTAGGCTAGAACAAGAACCCAGCTAGAAATCCCAAGCCCCACCTTCTAAATTCCTCAATATAATATGCTTCATTTTTTACTTTTTTTTTTTTTTTGATGTTGGGATTAAATCCTGCTAAGCATGTGCTCTATCACTGGTCTACATCCCCAGCCCCATGATCTTTTTACAATTCTTTCTCCCAGTATAGAAACATATGAGACCCTCACTACTCGAAGTGTGGTCCGTGGGCCTGCATTATCAGCATCCTCGATTCTTGGATCCCATCTCAAACAGGCTGTGCCTGAATCCACATTTTTAACAAGATCCCCGGATAATTACTGGGAACGTGAAAGTTAAAGAAGCATGCTGCAGTTTACTGATAAATACAAGCACAGAAGTCAAAGTTCTTCTTCTTCTGTCTCCCAACATCTTCCTAGAAGTGTTTGCCTTCTTCAACATCCAATTAGGTCAGACTGAACAACTCCAGCGACTGAGTAACGGGAATTAAGTCCTAGTGTCTGCTGCCACCTTGTGGTAAAGTGTCCACCTAGGAAGAATTTGCTCTTCATAAAATAAATACAGGAATAATGGGGCAGGTAGGCAGGCAGTCAAGTTTTTTAGCCATGTGCTTTAAAAGACAGCTAGCTGGAGGCACGGTGGTGCATGCCTGTAATCCCAGCTGCTCAGGAGGCTGAGGCAGGAGGATCGGGAGGTCAAAGCCAGCCTCAGCAACTTAGTGAGACCCTAAGCAACTCAGTGAGACCTTGTCTCTAAATAAAATACAAAAAAGGGCTGAGGATGGGGCTCAGTAGTTCAGTGTCCCTGGGTTCAATTCGTGGTACACCCCACAGAAAAATGACAAAATTCGAAGATGTAATGAAATAGCCTTTATGGTGTGTCCCAAGATATCCAAAAAACAAGTGTCCTATGTGTGTCCCACTGGGCAGAGAGGGCTCATGTTGAGAGATCTAACAGGTCCACCTGGGTTAACAGATCCTTGGTATTCTTTTCCTTTGAAATTCAAGCATGACAAAGGAATATCATTATCACATTAGCATGTGATTTTTTTTTAATTGTCAATGGAACTAAAAGTTGTTGGCTGGAGCAGTGCACATCCCTGTCATCCCAGCAGCTAGGGAGGTTGAGGCAGGAGGATCACGAGTTCATGTCCAAATTCTAATTTAGTGAGGATATAATTGTGATTTACAACAAAGTATTGAGGGTACAAATTTGGCTTACAAATGCACCTCAAAACTTCATAAGGCACAAGTCTATAATAAAAATAAAAGCTGAGTTATAAATTAACATTTGTTCTGATAGCTAACAATACAATGGTAGGCATGCAATTTATCAAAATACAGTTCTCTTAAATAAGAAAACTGATAAATATTGGTTTCAGGAAAACATTACTATTTCCTATGTACCCAGTATCTGTGAGTACTGAGTTTCTCTACTCCAACAGCTTCAAAAATAAGTTGTCAATACTTTTCTATTATAAAGAACAACATTTATAATATCAGTAAGTGATCAGAAGAAAAATCTTCTGAGTTCTTTAATGCTACCTACACAAGAATATCAAAGAAGTACTTCTAATCCCAAAAGACACCATTTTGTTGCAGCTTTTAATATTCTTGATTGAGGTCATTTTGTCAGCCTTCTAGAATTCCATGATAAAAAGGTTCAATGTAGTAGTGAATTTTCATCTATTTCCTCTCATATTAAAATTTTAAGAAATAATT